ATTTTTGTAAAGTTTCCTCCACCACTTAATGTGTTTGAAAACGATTAATTAGATAATAAATTTATTAAATTATCAAATAAAATTTAAATTTATCAAATTTAATTTTTATCAAATTTAATTTTTATCAAATTTATTCAATTTATCATTTATTAAATTACTATATTAAATTATAGTAATTAAATAAAATTATTTGATATTAAATTATCAAATACAATTATTAAAATAATAAATTACGATCAAATTATTTAATATAGTATTGTTCCATTTATCAACTTCGCTGACCGTGAACATATTGTTCACAGTGTTAAAAGGCATATAATGTCTTTTTTTGGCTCGTTAAGGTTCTTGGTTTCCTGTTCTTGTTCGCGTTTGACCCGAGCTGAACGGGTTCTCCCCGTCTGTCCTTGTTCATTCCTCCTGAGTATTCTATATGTAGTGCAAGTTAACACCTAATGTTATACTAGTTGGAACATTTTGGAAAATAGGTAAATATATTTTATACTTTGAATTTTTGTATGTTTTTTGTTTTGTTTTTAGTATCAATGATATTAGTAGAAAGAAGTAAAATTAATAAAACAAAGTTGTATATCGATTAACTAAAGAAAAATGGTATTAGTTTTATTTTTATGTTGGATCCGTATGTTCCCGAATTATTCTGACGTGTGAATTTGTGTCTGTGTCTTTTTGTATTTCTTGAATTTGTAAATATGTTCAAGTGAATACGTTTGTAAGTGTGTGTGTGTGTGTGTGTGTGTGTGTGTGTGTGTGTGTGTGTGTGTGTTTGAAAGTGTGTTTATTCATACATGTTTGCAAACATATACTTAGAATTATCTTTTCTACTAATCAAACTGTGCTTTCGGGTGGTTTAGCTTTAGATCTTGGGCCCCGCTTCTCAACCTTGAGTTGACTGATATATTATGTTCCTAACCCTTTGATATGCGAATTAATATGTTGATTAAGGAAGTAACTTCTAAACTCACCGCGGTGGGAGATAATAGGGAAGACAATGAAAAAATGCCCGATTAGTTTGAGAAAGAGTTGAACAAGGAATTGATGAAATAGAGGGGGAGGGAGGGGGAGAAAAACGTAGTTGATGCTTAGGAGTGTGAATGCTAGACGAGATGTTGAGTGTGGATGCATTGCAAGGAGAGTGGATGAAGGATGAGGAGGAGGATAATGGATACACTGGGGGAGGGAAATGGATGTAAAGCAAGACTGGAACCTCTATCTAGAGCGTGGCAGTGCTATAGCAAGTTGGTATCAGCAGGTCCCAGACGGACTTTACAAAGGAAGAAATTTCACTGGAGGAGGATTATAAGTGCGAAAGTTTCCCCCTTGGCATTGCGTTGATGTCTCGGTGATGTCTTGGTGAACCGCGAGTGGTGCGAGACTTTTAACTGGACCTCGAATCCATAAAACAGTGACGCCAAGTACTTACGTAAGTGTACATCTTTCCTCAATCTTTGACGGCCTTGGTTACATTTATTAAACTGTTTACAAACATGAAAACTTCCCAATCAACTGTTGTTGTTATAAACAGCCGCCTGGTGCTTCAGAGCTCATTAACTGTTTAATAATTGTAAACAAAGCCGCCAAATATTGAGAGAAGATGGACAGGTTCGTAAGTGCTTGCGTAACTGCTTTGTGAATCCGGGTCCAGCCTCTTAAAAGATTGTCTCAGAGATCTAATTTATTCTCAAGACAAAAAGAGGGATTGATAAGACGATTTCATTTATTTCATAATTTCCTTCTGGGAACCATTTGGGTTTCGACTAATTTTCATATTGCTCAGTGACCTAATTAAATCATTAGTTAATTTTGTTGTTACTCGTTTATAAACTTGAAATATATCGTTTCTGGGAAATTGAAATTATCAGAGGAATTGCTACAACAGTTTAATGCTGCAAATCGTGTTCCCAGGCAGAAGAAGGTGTATATACACTTGAATCACTGAAAGATTTTCAAAAGATTCAAAAGACTCATAGATTCAAAAAAGAAAAAAATACTTATTACACAATTCAAAATCAGCTGGATGAAAAATTCCGTAACTGTCTGACAGGTTCCAAATGCCTGATGATGATAGGGCTTCTATCGTCCTGGAAACACCCATGGAGAGCTCAACGACCTCGTTCGTGAAGTCTTCACTCTCCTGGTAATAACACATCCGTCCCCATAGATTAGAAATATTTGTTTTAGGCTTTTCGGAGTCTGATCAAATACTCAACGGAATATTCAATTTAATTATACCTTCGGGTCTTGAGAGCTCGAGTTTGTTCATTATTTATTTATATATATAATATATATATATATATATATATATAATATATATAGATATATATAGATATATATATATATATATATATATTTTGTTTGACGGTGATACTGGATTGGGGAGATGGAAATCCCCCACTGGTGAATAAATTCAGGTGTGAGAAAACACGGACACATGGCAATGTATATAAATCAAAGTGAGCAAATTCGAGCAGAATTACAGAGACAGCACACACGTGCTCTCTCAAGGAGCCACATATGCACACACATGTGGCTGCAAGGGAAGCCACATACGCATTTGGCTCAGGCATACTGGATAAGGAGTGTCCATGTGTGCATACACATGCACACACAGACACACAGGATCATAAACAAGACAATTGGTCAAAATTGTAGGTTGAAGCACATATATATTTCCTGAGTATACCATTTCCTACATCAGATATTATACATGATTTAATTAACGTATTCGAAATACAACCCCATATGGCCGGGGATGAGTTTATAACAGATGTAGGTAAACAAATTTAATTATTCTACATTCTTTAATGACTAGTTCAAATGCAGTAGTTCTGCATAACTATTTTAAATAGGACACTAGCATGCGTTTTGGATAGGTAACTATTTATCCAAAGGAAAATGAGTGGGACTAAACTACGAGAACAGTGGGAATCGAACCATATTTTGAGAGTAAAACGAGAACTCGAGAGGGAGAGACAATGTTTAAACTGAGCATCAGTATAAGACTTAGTAGCCCAATTATATCGATCCTGTAAGTCCAGTAAAGTGAAACGAATAAGGGGGACACTGTTGAGACGTCAGTCATGCAAAGTCTTACAAGAGGATTTAACATAGAACAAAAGAGTCGCGATGTAGAGCATTATTAGATAACTGGTTGTCTGTGCGGACCTGAGAGCCTTGGGGTGCTCTTTTTACTGTGTATATATTCCAGGGTGGCTCTAATGGGTATATGTTCCAGGGTGGCTCTAGTGGGTATATGTTCCAGGGTGGCTCTAGTGGGTATATGTTCCAGGGTGGCTCTAGTGGGTATATGTTCCTGGGTGGCTCTAGTGGGTATATGTTCCAGGGTGGCTCTAGTGGTATATGTTCCAGGGTGGCTCTAGTGGTATATGTTCCAGGTTACTCTAGTGGGTATATGTTCCAGGGTGGCTCTAGTAGGTATATGTTCCAGGGTGGCTCTAGTGGGTATATGTTCCAGGGTGGCTCTAGTGGGTATATGTTCCAGGGTGGCTCTAGTGGGTATATGTTCCAGGGTGGCTCTAGTGGGTATATGTTCCAGGGTGGCTCTAGTGGGTATATGTTCCAGGGTGGCTCTAGTGGGTATATGTTCCAGGGTGGCTCTAGTGGGTATATGTTCCAGGGTGGCTCTAGTGGGTATATGTTCCAGGGTGGCTCTAGTGGGTATATGTTCCAGGGTGGCTCTAGTGGGTATATGTTCCAGGGTGGCTCTAGTGGGTATATGTTCCAGGGTGGCTCTAGTGGGTATATGTTCCAGGGTGGCTCTAGTGGGTATATGTTCCAGGGTGGCTCTAGTGGGTATATGTTCCAGGGTGGCTCTAGTGGGTATATGTTCCAGGGTGGCTCTAGTGGGTATATGTTCCAGGGTGGCTATAGTGGGAATATGTTCCAGGGTGGCTCTAGTGGGTATATGTTCCAGGGTGGCTCTAGTGGGTATATGTTCCAGGGTGGCTCTAGTGGGTATATGTTCCAGGGTGGCTCTAGTGGGTATATGTTCCAGGGTGGCTATAGTGGGAATATGTTCCAGGGTGGCTCTAGTGGGTATATGTTCCAGGGTGGCTCTAGTGGGTATATGTTCCAGGGTGGCTCTAGTGGGTATATGTTCCAGGGGTGGCTCTAGTGGGTATTTGTCCAGGGTGGCTCTAGTGGGTATATGTTCCAGGGTGGCTCTAGTGGGTATATGTTCCAGCAACCCATCCTCACTATCGACCAACAGCTGATGAGATGGAGTCCAGGGGCTAGATTCACGAAGCAGTTACGCAAGTACTTACGAACGGGTACATCTTTCCTCAATCTTTGACAGCTTTGGTTACCTTTATTAAACAGTTTACAAGCGTGAAAACGTCTAAATCAACTGTTGTTATTGTTACAAACAGCCTCCTGGTGCTTCGGAGCTCATTAAATGGCTGAGTGGACAGCATGCTGGACACGTATTTCGGTGAACCGGAGATCGATCCCCGGCGATGGCGGAAACAAATGGGCAGAGTTTCTTTCACCCTGATGCCCCCTGTTACCTAGCAGTAAATAGGTACCTGGGAGTTAGACAGCTGCTACAGGCTTCTTCCTGTGTGTGTGTGTGTGTGTGTGTGTGTGTGTGTGTGTGTGTGTGTGTGTGTGTGTGTGTGTGTGTGTGGAGGGGGGGGGGCGGGGAAAGTTAGTAGTTAGTAACAGTTGATTGATTGACAGTTGAGAGGAGGGCCGAAAGAGCAGAGCTCAACCCCCGGAAGCACAACTAGGTGAAAACTAAGTGAATACACACTCACATATACACACCAGCTCCAAACTCCAAGCAGAACGCACTATTTAATTCCTCATTTACATAAATCCTTCATTAAGTCATGAAGGCTGGCCTTTTTATCACTCGATAAAGTTGTCTCTCAGTAACAGAGAAAAAAGCTAAAACATCACCCCAGATACTGACACTTATCACAACTTAATTGGAAGCGAACTTGAGAGAGATTCCAGTAAAGGATCCCCAGAAAAAATGCTGTAGCAATTAGCATGTATAATCTCCTCATTAGTTTGCCATTGAGACACTTTTTCCCCACTTCATCTTTTTGTTTTATTTCAAGGGCAGAGTTTTGGGTCGGTGAGGAGTGTGATATGGAGCTGATTGCCCGCCAGGGCTCTCGCTTGTTTATGTTTAGCCCAGGCTGTGGTTTAAGGTGATTTTTAGGGTGGGTGGAGATGTGGGTGATGGTAGGGATGGTCTGGTAGGTGGTGTGGGTTGTGGTGGGGGCCCTTACCAGTGTGTGTGTGTGTGTGTAGGGGAGGTGAGGTCTACGGCTGTTTATGCTTCCCTTCTTGTACCTGTTACGTTAGTTATGTTTGAATTATTCTGCTGTACAAATACTTTGTCGAATCCGGTCTTGAAGTTGTGGATGGAGGTGGCTTTCCCAGCTTCTTCTTTCAGTGCATTCCTCGTGTTGACCCCCTCCCCCCCCCCCGTTCAGTGAAGGAGTACTTTCTTACATTCCTTCGGCTCACTTGCCTTTCCAGCTTACACTTGTGTCCTCTCTTTCTACTCTACCTCGGTATGAATAGGGTGTCCTTATCCACCTTGTGCATTCCTCTCTGTATCTTCAATGTCGTGTTCATATTTTCTGTGTTTGTTTTGACCTCTTGGTGATTTGGTTAGTGGTGGTGTGGTGTTTGGAGGCTGACAGTGTGGTGGAGTGGTGTGTGGAGGCTGGCAGTGTGGTGGAGTGGTGTGTGGAGGCTGGCAGTGTGGTAGAGTGGTGTGTGGAGGCTGGCAGTGTGGTGAAGTGGTGTGTGGAGGCTGGCAGTGTGGTGGAGTGGTGTGTGGAGGCTGGCAGTGTGGTGGTGTGGTGTTTGGAGGCTGGCATTGTGGTGAAGTGGTGTGTGGAGGCTGGCAGTGTGGTGGAGTGGGTGTGGTGGGAGGCTGGCAGTGTGGTGGAGTGGTGTGTGGAGGCTGGCAGTGTGGTGGAGTGGTGTGTGGAGGCTGGCAGTGTGGTGAAGTGGTGTGTGGAGGCTGGCAGTGTGGTGGAGTGGTGTGTGGAGGCTGGCAGTGTTGTGTAGTAGTGTGTGGAGGCTGGAGGTGTTGTGACGATATGGTTGTGTGGTAATCATTGCTGTCATTTGCGGAAAAAAACATTCACTTGGTTTAATATCTTCCTTACACTGAGGCACGAACAACAGAGTTATGTACAGCATGAGCAACCAATCATTGGCTTAGTTAAATCTGAACTGATTAGTGGTTCAAATCTGGTTCTGGTGTTGGAACTGGGGGGATCCCGAGTACAATTTCTATAGCGTGAATGCAAACTTGCGTTAATCAATTTATGTCAAAAATATATGTTTGATTTAGCATGCTGTACACCTGTTTAATTCAGCCATCATTGTAGGGATTTGCATACGTTAATACGAATGAGGTTTCAAAATCTAATTGTAATTAGATGGGTTGGTTTTCAGTATAATACTGAATCAGTCCGGAGGTTGTTTAGCTGTTGTCGGCCATTTTTTTTTTTTTTTTAACTTTGTGTTTTGCCGAGTCGGTTGAGGAAGGTAATGGTGGTGAGGGAGGGATGGTGAATGGTGATAAGGGAGGGGAGAGGGATAGTGAATGGTGGTAAGGGAGGGGAGACGAATAATTTTGAACGCAGCGTATGCTGTATTGTGTGCGCAACTTGTGCTTCATTGCGTACGCAACTTCTGTACCCACGTAATTTGTATTCTAAACTAGTACTATTTTTTGTACTATTTTGTACTATTTTTAATTTCCTTCAAGATTTCCACAATAATCAGTATTTTGCACCTGCAAAATACAAATTATTTTGTATGTGTGTGTATTCACCTAGCTGTACTCACCTAGTTGTGCTTGCAAGGGTTGAGCTACTAGTGTTTGCTACTGTTGTTGAGCTACTTGTACGGCTTGTGTTTGTGGGAAGCTGACCAGGAGGTATAGCCCCTCTATAATTGATTAACTGCTTGATTCTCTATACCACGTCCTGATTGTCCGGGATATATTATGATTCTGATTCCAAATATATTAGGAAATTATCACACTCGAATAATCATGGGCGCCGCTTTTCACTTCTCTACTCGTGAAAATGTATAACTGGTGTTAGAGAAAGGGGAAAAGGGGGCAGGAAGGTGTGAGGATGGAAAAGATTAAGAGAGAATTTTGTTACAGTAAAGCACTTAGTAAAGTTACACTTAAAGCAACATTGACTCCATTTTATCCCATTTTTATTGTGAATCTTTTCAAATTCTACTTCTTTCTCTGTTAAGATCACCAAGTGTCATATTTTAGGAGAAAAAAAACCTGTTGGCTCAGAAAACGAGGAAAAAACCCAGAGAGTAACTCAAGTATTTATTAACATCACCGCAGAGGAAAAATATGGAACGAGCTGAAATTAAAACATGTTTAATGTTACATGTTTCAGTAAAAAAAAATAAAAAAAGTGGCTTCTGGCACAAGGAACGAGGGTGTGTGTGCTATACACACAATATAGAAGGCGATAATTCACCAGAGGACACGCAGTCATGCACTCGCAAGTTACAAGCTCGTTTCCTCTTTCAGAGTGCATCTGCAGTCTACCAGTTCCTGTAATGTCAGCTGAGGACTCAATAGCCCTCCCACCACCACCGAAACTAAGCCTGCCTTCCGCTATTGTCTTCTCAAGACTATTTCATCGGAAAACCTTTTAGCTGAAGAACGATGGTGGGAAATAGTGAAGGGATGGGGGTGGGGTATTGGGAAAGGGGGGGGGGGGAGAGGGGAGGGGATGTTCATTCATGTGGGTAGTCATTAGTGTTCCTTGAGGTGAAGGTATATATAAACTCAGGATATACCTGTCTGGCTGTCTGCCTGCCTGCCTGCCTGTCTACCTGCCTGGCTGCCTGCCTGCCTGGCTGCCTGCCTGCCTGGCTGCCTGCCTGCCTGCCTGGCTGGCTGTGTAGTCCACTCTCTCGTAGGTTGTTCCTGAAGGAGAGTTTCCCCGAGGTCTTGACCACTGGAGTATATCGGCATTTTATTGAACGACTAATGGAAATGGTGGCAATCACTTTGCCTGGTGTCCATAATCCCCCTCCCTCACCCCCCCCCCCACACACTCTCTCTCTCTCTCTCTCTCTCTCTCTCTCTCTCTCTCTCTCTCTCTCTCTCTCTCTCTCTCTATGTTATTATCCTTACATTTAACTCATTTTAAAGCGTATGTATCATTCAATGTAATTACCAAAAATTTGAAAACGGATATTGGCTTCCTCAATGCATTTGTTACCATTGCAGCTAGTCTTTTTTTTTTAATTTGCTGCACAAGCGTTTATTTTGCCATTTTTTTTAATGTCTTTACCCTAAAACGTTTTGGGACATTAGTGTTGCACTTGGATACGTGGATACTCTCTATATGTAGTTGGTGGTTCGCGCTAGCTCAGAGTGTCCAGGTGAATGAGATACACACACACACACACACACACACACACACACACACACACACACACACACACACACACACACACACACACACACACACACACACACCCACGCACACTCACTCACACCCACACACACACTAGGGGGTCTGGTAGCTGAGTGGACAGCGATTCCCGGACCAGACAGAAACAAATGGGCAAAGTTTTCTTTCACCCTGAATGCCCCTGTTGCCTAGCAGTAAATAGGTACCTGGGAGTTAGACAGCTGTTACGGAGCTGCTTTCTTGGGGTGTGTGTGTGTGAGGAAAAAAAAATAGTTAGTAGTTAGTAACAGTTGATTGACAGTTGAGAGACGGGCCGAAAGAACAAAGCTCAACCCCCCGCAAGCACAACTAGGTGAATACATACACATAATAATATAGAGTTAAACATGCTTGATATAATGTAAATAATATAAATTGCTGTAAATGTGTAAATGCCAAATTACATGTCATTAATAAATAATGGGGCTAGTCTTTGTTATATTCATGGACTAGTTTGAGGTACTTGAGTCTACCTCTCCCTCACTTTCACCATTTTCTCTCACACATTAACTCCCATTCATTCTTCAAGTTCTCTCTCCCAATGGACAAAACATATTCGAGTAATGATGAATCAACATTATATCAACGATGAATCATCGTAATCACCATGATTCAACGTTGAAAGCAGTTGTAAAATCTGTTG